TTTCTAAAAACGCACATATACTGGACCCATAATTTTTATACATAAAATTAGCTGGAGTCCCAGACTCCTTGGATTGAAACAAACCCATTATCAGAAAGGTTCCGAGACTGGGTTTGGACATGCACAGGCAATGGTAATACCTCTACGTCTGCTGCCTAACGACTAACAGATTTATTTGTCCCCTTAATTGTAAGAAACATCTTAGTTTCATGAATTAGTTTCACCTTAGTTTCATGAATTAGTTTTATGGTAAAACTTGGGAGGGAGAGGGGCAAAGTCAGTCCATGAATCAAGGAAAATATTTAATGTAGTTTTTGTACTTATTTTTGGAAGCCTAGAAAGATTTTCTTTTTTTTTTTTTGTCTTTTGTCTTTTGTCTTTTTTCGTGTCCGGCAAAGGATCGCAACCCTCAGTGTCGCGCCCGTACCGGACCGGGGACCGGCAACGGGATCGCACCCCTCGGGGTCGCTCCCGCGCCTCGCTCAGCCAGTGAGCGGGAACCGGTCTGTATGTGGGATCCGAACCCTCGGGCGGGAGCGCCGCCGCGCTTCCCAAGCGGCGCACTTATCCAGTGCGCCACCGGGCCGGCCCGAAAGATTTTCAGTTTATCCATTTTAACCACTTTAACTCCATGTTCCCCCACTCCCACCCCCACACCATTTTTGCCAGTTCTATATTATGTTTCAAGAATTAATTTTGTATTGGGTCTGGTTTAAAAAATTCAACCTTTATAAAAACATGTAAGTAGAGGTTCTTCATTTTCTTGTGCTTCTGATTATTTGTGTGAATATACTAACATATATAAATATTTTAAACTAGTATGGTGTTATTTTATTTTATTATTATTATTTTTTTTTAAAGATGACCGGTAAGGGGATACTAACCCTTGGCTTGGTATTGTCAAGCACCACGCTCACCCAGTGAGCAAACCGGCCATCCCTATATGGGATCCAAACCCATGGCCTTAGTGTTATCAGCACCACACTCTCTGGAGTGAGCCATGGGCCGGCCCCAGTATGGTGTTATTTTATATACTGACTTACAAATTGCTTTTTTTACTTTATATATCCTAGATTTTTTTTACAGGTGGAATTACCTCAGTTCTTTCTCTTTAAAAAATCATTCTTTTTAAGTAGCTGTGTGGGAATTCATTTTGTGGACCTCTCAGACATTTTTAATCAATTTTCTGATGATTGATATTTAGATGGTTTCTAATTTAAGTGTTAGCAGAAGGGATAGATTTTTTTGTTGAGTGCGTGTCTAGAATCAGGTTGGCATATTGTATGGGTCTATTTTTAGGTTCTTTATTCTGTTGCATTGGTATATACGTCTTTCCTCCACTAATACCACAGTGTTTTCATTACTATTGCTTATTTATTGAACACATACTATTTGCTTTATTCTGTAGATACTGTTCTAGAGGCTTGTATAGGGAAAAAACACACACTAGAGTGTTTTTCCTATAATCTTATTCAGTAACAATCAACACAGAAGACAGAAGTCTATGACCAAATGTGTGGTGATTTCTTCCCACCGGCAAGCAAGGAAGCAGTTCTGCAGTGGGTGTCCAGCTGGGTGTCCTCTCATTCAGTTCTGTTACTATCTGGAGATAGCATCAGATCCCACAGGTTGAGGATTTAGTCTCCAAGACTGTCCCCCCTCAACCTCTTTCTGATGTCCATTGTAAGCTACAGGTTGTTTTATCTGTGTTTCTGGCTGACTGGCTATAAATTGGGGTTCTTACAACCCCTTCCTTGGGTTTGATTAATTTGCTGAGCGACTCACAGAACTCAGGGGAATATTTACATTTACCAGTTTATTATAAAAGATATTTTAAATGATACAGATGAAGAGAGACATAGGGCATGTTAAGAGGGAAGGGGCAAGGAGCGTCCATGCCCTCCCCAGTCATGCCACCCTCAAGGAACCTCCATGTGTTCAGTGTTCAGCTATCTGTAAGGTCTCTGAACCCTGTGCTCTTGGGTTTTTATGGGAGCTTCATTACACAGGCATGATCGAAGCATGGACACTGTGTAGAAATGTGATTGGACAAAAAGAGTATGAACTAACAGTAATGGACTGTGTGGGAAAACCCAGAAAGACCTGTCCAGATTCTTCCCGGCCTCTCTGTGTAGCATTCCTTCCTCCTGGACATGGGATGGGACCCCTTCTCGAAAGGGGGTCTTATGACCTACAATCAGATAAGATAGGTCAGAGAATTTCTTTATGGCCAGCTCCAAGATAGAAAGGCAGGGTAAGGTTAGAGCAAGCCAGAAACTGTGAATGAAAACCAAAACATACATATCACAAGGCTTGAGATATATCTGTGAACAAAACAAAGATTTCCATCCTATGGATCTTTCTTATGGGGTTCTGTGGGATAAGAAAGATGAGAAAGAAACAAAAGTTATATTTTAAGTTCAAATGTTAAAGTGATACGAAAAAAGTAAAACAGTAAATAGAGTCTGGAGAGATGTAGATTGCCATAGGTAGTAAGAATAAGCTTCATTGAGACATTTGAAAAGAGGCTGGAAGAGGGTGAGAGAGTGAGCCAAACATATCTGAAGAAAGAATGTCCAGGGAAAATGAATAGCCAGTGCCTGCCATGTTTGAGAACAGCAGGGAGGTGTGTGTAGCTGGAACACAGTGAACTAGGGGTAGAAAAAGTAGCAGCTTAGGTCTGAGAAGGTCTGATCATCAGCAGTGCCTCATATGGGAAGTTACCTCATACTCAAGATAACTTTATCAAATAATGATAAAGATAACATACCAAGCAGCAAGGAAGCTTTCTGAGCTCAGCCTATGTCACTGAGCTACATAGTTATGAACTAAATAAATTCTTGTTGTAAGCCACTGAGTTTTGGAGTGATTTGTTATACATACACTATTACTATTGTGTGAGAATAAAATTACACAGCCAGGTTATTCTTTTTTCCTTTTTTAAATAACATATAGTAAACTTAACTTTTTAAAAATATATATATAGATTCATGTAATGCCAATACTATCAGTATATAGAACATTTTCATCACCCCCAAATTTGCTATCCCCAACCCCATTTCCTAGCAACCAGTAGTAGCAACCCCATTTCCTAACAACTGTAGTAGTCTTGTCTTTGCAAGAATGTCATATAAATGGAATCATAAAATTTGTAATCATTTGAGACTGGCTGCTTTCACTCAGCATAGTGCTTTGAGATTCATCCATGTTGTTGCATGTACCAACATTTAGTTTCTTTTTAATCCTTAGTAGATTTCACTGTGTGGTTGTACTACTGTTTTCTTCATGTTGAGAGTTCTTTACACTAGTTAAAAATTCTTTGTCAAATATGTGATTTGCAGATATATTATCCCAGTTTATAGCTTGATTTTCTTTCTCTTAACAGTGTCTTTCACAGAGCAAGTGTTTTTAATTTTGATGAAGACCAATTTATTAGTATTTTTCCTCTATGTGTTGAACTTTGAGTATGATGGTTAAGAACTCTTTGCCTAACATAAGGTCATGAAAATTTATCCTATTTTTTTCTTCTAAAACTCTTATAGTTTTACATTTTGCATTTAGCTATATGATCCATTTTGAGTTAATTTTTGTATAAAATGGGAGATAACAGGTTTTGATTATTTCAGATATGCGAGTCCAATTGTCCCAACACCAATTGTTGAAAAAACTGTCCTTTCTCCACTGAATTGCCTTTTTACCTTTGTCAAAAATCAGTTCACCATGTATGTACGAGTGTGTTTCTGGGTTCTCTGTTATATTCCATTATTTATTCTTTTAATAATACCACACTGTCTTGATTACTGTAGCTTTATATATTAAGTTTTAAAATCAGGTAGTGTGTCTTCCACATTTGTTCTTCTTTTAAAAATTTGTTTTTGACTGTAGATCTTTTACTTTTCAATATACGTTTTAAAGTCTGCTTGTCTGCTACCTGTCTATATCTACAAAAACTCCTGGGATTTCGATTGGAGTTACTGTAGTAACTCTTTCATTTTCTGCGGTTTCAGTTACCCATGGTCTGAAAATTAGGTAAGTACAGTACAGTACAGTAAGATATTTTGAGAGAGAGACATTCACATAACTTTTATTGTTGTAGTTGTATTACATTATTATTAGTTGTTGTTGTTAATCTCATACTGTGCCTAATTTATAAATTAAACTTTATCCTTGGTATGTATGTATAGGAGAACACATAGTATATATAGGATTTGGTGCTATCCACAGTTTTAGGCATCCACTGGGGAACATAACCCCTGCTGATAAGGGGGGACCACTCTACCTTAAACATAAAGATCATTTCAGAAGAACTGACATCTTAACTATTTGAGTCTTCCAATCCATTAATGTGGTAGGTCTTTCATTTCTTTCAGCAGTGTTTTTCTAGTTTTCAGCATACAGATCCTGTGCATGTTTTGTTAGATACATATGTAAATATTTGATGATTTTGGAGCTATTATAAATGGTATTATTTTAATAACTTCTGTTTCCAGTTGTTGATTATTAGGATACAGACATTTAATTGATTTTTGCATGTTGACCATATGCCCTCCTACCTTAAGCTTACTTAATAATTCTAGAGCACAGCCAGATTATTTTTAAGAAATTATAAACTGGGAATGGTTTTTTAAGTTCATTTTTGCTTTTTTTTTTGATGAGATGTCCAATCTTAAATCTTGAATGAGTTGAAATTTTCTTTTCCTTTTCCTTTAGCAGTGTACATATGTAGCTTTGCTACTAGTTGAATGTCTGTATGGCCTGATGATGGAAGCATCAACCCCAAAAAACACACACTAATTTCAATGTCTAATTTCTACCTCTTTTTATAATCACATAATAGTGATACTGGCTAGTTTTATGAAAAACTTTGTGGTGTCATAATCATGAATTTTAACAGAAGAGTACAATCCGGGTTCTTAATTTTGTAACTGTTTCTCAGCTGTCATATGTTTTAGCTCTGAATAATTATTCTGTTTCTTCTCTCTTTTTCTCTTTTCCCCCAGGTATTGGGAGAGTTGCTGCTACATCTTTAGGAAATTTAACTAACCATGGTTCTGAAGATTTACCCCTTCCTCCTGGCTGGTCTGTGGACTGGACAATGAGAGGGAGAAAATATTATATAGATCATAACACAAATACAACTCACTGGAGCCATCCTCTTGAGCGAGAAGGACTTCCTCCTGGATGGGAGCGAGTTGAGTCATCAGAATTTGGAACCTATTATGTAGATCACACGAATAAGAAGGCTCAGTACAGGCATCCCTGTGCTCCTAGGTAGAGTATTGACTTTATTTTTAATTTTTTGATTTGATATTGTCTAATGTTACATTTTGGACTCATTTTTATTAAAGAGAAAGGAATCCTGAAGCTTGAGATTTGAAAGCCTTATTTTTCAAAATTTATGACTTTCTCTGGATTTACATTTAGTAATGAATGACTTTAATAATTTAAAAAATTACTTAAAAAACTTTATAAAGAACCTCAAAAACTTGATTAATGTTATTATGATCAGATTCTGTTTTAGTATGCCAGAATGTTTTTTATTGTAGATACCCAGAAATTGAAATAAATAAGTAAAACATCTGTCTCTTCACAATTAAGTTCCTATAAATAACACAGACCTACCTCCTGCAAAGTCAAAATATAATTTTGAATGATAACATTTTGCTATTTCTGCTCAATTTCAGACATGATTTTATGTTCTGTTTCTTACTGTTGCTGGATAAGAAAGTGAAAATTGGGACTGGATAAAACATTCCAGGTCTGTTTAATAAATGTAGCCAGTGATTCTTTGGGCTATTTTGATTGATACCGGGCTTCTTAGTAGATCTGGTTTGTTGCCAGCATTTTTTTTTTAGCCCTGTGCTTTCTAATACTGTAGCCAGTTGTCACATGTGGCTATTGAGCACTTGAAATGTGATTAATCAAAATTGGTATGCGCTGTAAGAGTAAAATATACACTGGATTTCAAAGTACTTATAAAGCTAGTATTAGCGTAGTAATAAAGTTGCAAAAATTTCATGTTAACCACATTTGAGCTTCAAGAACTGAACCATGAGATTAAAAATGGGTAAAATATCATCAGCATGTTGATAGATGTTGCTTAGTATCACCTGGCATTATACAGATTTTTGGTTATGGTGGACATTTGTATATTTTAATAACCATTAAAATAATTATGAAAATAACCTTTGCATTATTACCTAGAAGACTAAGCTTTATTATTATTGTGTTTAATTATTGTGCATATTTGGATTTATTGATTTAACTTTGAAAATCAGCTTTTTCCAGTGATTCCATGTAGTGGCAATCAGTCAATGTTTATTGAACTACTGAGGTTGTCCTCCCATCAAAAGAACCAAACCTGTGGTTGGGGTTTGCTGTTGTCAGGTGGCTGAGATCTTTGTGGTCCAAATAGCCAGATTTGAGAGTTTCCTGGGTTATCATCATTAACCTTATGTTATTACTGAATTTTTATAGTTTACAAAGCATTTTCATAATTAATTTGCTTTTCTCAGCAACTCTGTAGATGTTCAACAGGAGAAAATAAACACTGTCTTTAAACTCACAAAAGTAGTATTAAAAGCTATTTGATGTCTATATTGTGCCAGTCCTTATTCACAACTCTTGATTTACATTGGCTCATTTAATTCTGAGAACAACCATCTGTGGTATGAATGTATTATTCTGCTTTTACAAATAAGGAGACTGAGGCTTAGAGAAGTGAAGCAATTTTGCCTATATTCATACCATTCATAAGTGGTCAAACTGAGGTTAAAACCCAGGCGTATCTGACTTCAAAGCCTCAAATCTCCCCCACCCTCCAATTGTGCTATCAAGGAATATTTCTCTTTGAACCTACTTAGGAAAGAAAAATTGAAGATCAAATTCAGTACCATTTGCACATGATCTTTGAGTTGCTAACCATAATGTAATCTAATCCTTATTTTAATACCAGTTAGTAAATAGTGACCTTTTCTAATATACACATAAGTCTTTGTTTGGGGGCAGGCCCCCTCCAGTTTTGTCTTAAGTTTGACCATTTTGGCCTCCCAGAATTCAATCTTTAACCTTCAAGTGGTTTCGTGCTTTTCTTAGCACTTTCCCATATAACACCCCTACCCTACTGTACTGTTCTTTCCTTCTCCACAGCATACACAGGCTGTTAGAACTAACTAAAGCATGGTCTTTTTGTTGTTGTTTTTGAAGTCTCTATGATTTAAAATAGGTTCTAATCAACTCTAGCTCCCATATGTTCTTTTAAGGTGGTGAAAGTAAAAGTTATCTACATTTAATGTAGATTATTTAAAGCACAATACTCACCCCTGCTGCACCACATATCCCAACCCTCCTTTTCAGCCTGCAGGAGGAAGAAAATATCCATTCTGTTTTGAGAGGAACTATCAACTTCTCTGATGTGAATTTATAGCTAATTACTGGTTAGTATGGAAGTTTATGATTCTGGTTTCAAGCCTCTGTTTAAAGATTACAACTTAGTTCAAACATTCTATAGCCTCCTTTGAAGCTGTCCTTGAAAAGAATAAATACCAAGCAAAAGACATCTCTATAAAATATGCAAAGGTTCAGCTTAGGTTTATATCCATCACTTGCAGCATACCAGTTTGCAAGAGAAGGTAGATTTTACTTCCCTGTAGTATGGTAAGGAATGCCAGACCTTTATCTTTTAGGTTATCTTTTATATAGTAGAAAGAAGTCAGTTTGGGCAGGAGACATATTGAAAGATGCTTAAATATTATGCTTTATAATTTCTTATTTAGATTTAGGGCCTTTGTCTTCATGAATGTCAGTTCTTTCTTCTTAGTGTACCTCGGTATGATCAACCACCTCCTGTCACGTACCAGCCACAGCAAACTGAAAGAAATCAGTCCCTTCTGGTACCTGCAAATCCATATCATACTGCAGAAATTCCTGACTGGCTTCAGGTTTATGCTCGAGCCCCTGTGAAGTAAGTGAATTTACAGCACAAATTATTTTCGAGGGGTGAGTGGAGGGCTGGAGAGAGTCTCTAGGCTGCTTAACCCAAGTAGCATCATGTTTTTCTCTTAATAATATTGGGCTTCTGAATAATATTTTATGTGAAGAAAGGATATCACAGCCTATTAAGTTTGAAAATAGTTGACTAGAAATATTAGTTATGCAGACATTTATTGAATCGTCACTTTGTATGCAAACCTCTGCTGTTAGGGATATAAGAAGCAGCTTATATTTTTATAGTGGAAGATTAACTTGTAACTGAGTGCTGCAGTTCTTATAATAAAAGTAAGGACCCAAGTAAGGTCCTAGATACATGGGTGAAACAAAGCAGGACACAGTGGTGTTGAGGAAGTGTAGTATAGCATAGTGGCCGCAAGTTCTGGGATGAGATGATCTGAGTTCACTGATACTTGTATTCTTGAACTGTGTATCCTTGGGCAGGTGTTTAACTTAATTTTGTATTCTGTAAATTGGGGATAGTAATAGTACCTACTCTTAAAATTATTAAGAATTCAGTAAGAA